AGGCTGTCTGTGTGTATGTTCGGAAAGCGAGTGCATTTTGTCACCCACTTTCAACTCGGCAACCAGAAAAGCTGGGAGTCTGAAACTTTGGATATATGTTCCAACCCCGTGTGCCATCCTTCCCTTTTAAGATCTTTCCCCCATACGCGCCTAAATCCCGCGTACGGGACCCCCCAAAAGAAATGGTTGGCGGGAAACGATTTCGCGAACCAGGCAACGTAGAAAGCTGAAACTTTGCAGGGATATTCTCTGTGCACGTGCGAGATAAAAATTTTAAACTCAGCCCTCTAGCTCCCCCAACCACAGCCCCAAGCAGCTCCTGAACCCAAAAATCGTTAGCAACTCGGACCTGAACCGCCAATTGTAACTACAGCCTCAAGCAGCTCCTGAACCCAAAAATCGTTAGCAACTCGGACCTGAACCGCCAATTGTATATGCAAATGAACATGGATTTTTTAGAAAACGACCGCTCAAGCAATACTTTCAATTTTTCAATGAACTGAAAATTCGCATATTTTCAAAAATTCGTTCGCTCCTCGAACCTAAACCGCAATCGTAACGTGAACTTGCTATATGGCATATCTCCCACGCAACCCCAAATTCAGTCATGCTCCTAGAAATAAACACAAAAGAGATGCACGCACTTTCTCCCCACTCACCAACATAACAAGCAAAATAGGCAAAAAAGACACGTGGAATTGACGGCACGCACAACACCACGAAAAAACATAAGACCGCGACTGGGTCGCTGTGCAACGGAACATGGAACGGCGGCAATTCAAATGGTTGCTGTCTGTATTGCCGACGAACCCGAATGTTGGTGCTTGATGCAGTCGTGGTCCATACAGCTCAGCGAGAATCCGCATTTCTTTCCTGCTAAGAGATCCCTCCCATACTGGAACTATGCGAAAACTAGGAATATGGTCGTAACACACTGCTACTTACAGTTACCTCAGGCTTTAGTTTTAGTTTTAGACCCGGACTTTCGTAGCACTGGTGCCTATGCCGCCCAGGCGGGGGGAGGGGGTGGAAGACCCACTGCCGCCTTTTGGGCCCACCTATGTCTCCGACAGAGGGTTTGTGCACTTAGACGTTTACTCATTCTCAAAATTCCGTCTTCAGCTGAATGGAGGCATAATGTGGAATCGACTTCTTTCTTCCCCATTCCCCCTCCAGGACAGACCGCACTTCGAAGTTTGGTGCAAAATCGCATGATCGCACCGGCTCGCCTGGTGCGTTCCAGCCTGGGTTTATGCGTTTTTGCATATTTATAAATTGCAACCCAGGCTGGAACGCACCAGGCGAGCCGATGCGATCATGCGTTTTTGTATCAAACTTTGAGGTACTCCATCATATTTCCCTGCCCTTGCCTCACC